TGTTTGTTTATTCCCAGTTGTATCCTCCTCCCCTCTACCATCAATCATTGTATCCCAACCCGTTTTTCCAGTTCCTTCCCTATCACACAAATCTTTGTTTCTGAACCTTCCCTGTCAATCACCCAATACTTGATGTCCCATAGGTTTATATATATGGGTCTTTCCCCTTGTGCTTTAAATTATTATTTAACTAATTGATATCTTAACCCATAGATTGTAATATTGTAAAGCCCTCCTTATGCTCCTTCCTGCTTCTTTACCTATTGGTTAGAGATTTGTATCCTCTCCTGAGTCCTCCCCTATATATAAGTTGTTGTACACCTTATTTAGTTGTATTTTATCCCTAGACCCTTTCTGAGAATAAACTCCTTTGGAAACCTACACAAAAGACACTTCCCTGGTCTTTGCCTCAACTTTTGAGGATGACCACAATGTGCCTTTAAAAGCAGACTTGCTGCTGCTGCTATGCCAAGCAGACCTGCTTTACTTCTATTCAATTCGGAGCCTATTTCAATTTGGAGGGAAAATAACAAAATAACCCAAAATAACTGAAGAAATTCATCACACACCTGACATTTTGGTGTTTGGTATTGCTAACTCTGTTTGGAATAAGATTCAATGCATTCTAAATGAAAATTATATTGTGACATAAATACTGGTTGAATTACAAATTATTTGTTTTGGCCTTATGGATTTTCAGCTGAAACACCAGAAGTTTAAATTGGTGGAAGATTTTATGTTATCTTTGCACTGAACCCCACAAAAAAACCATAATATTCCCCTCAATCCTTTGCATCAGTTTTAGAATTAAAGAGCTCTTTACAGGGTGACTTCCAGTCTATTCCATGTAGATAAAGTGACCATGAAGTCACATCCACCTGCCAAAAACACCTTCACAGCTGTCTTTAGACAGCAAGTCTCCACATGGTTGTTAAGGTGTATTACTAAGATCCATAATTACCTTAATTTAATTGTTAAAAAATGTCCTGATTCTTTATTCCTTGTCTTTCAACAATACCTGAGGAAAATGTTGAAAAAGATTTCACTTGGCAAACTGGGATTTCTCTGAGCACTTAATGTAGGCTGCTGTTGCAACCAGCAAGTTGTGCTGGGTGAATCCCAGTGCAAAGTCTTCAGGTCTCCAATATCTGATTTATTATAGAAGGTGCTGCAGAAAATTGGAAAATTGCCACCTTTCAAGCTGCCATGTCTGTCTCTTTATAAACACCCACCAGTGAAATACTTTAAATTAGTGTCGCTTTTTAGATGACTGTTATGCACAATGACCAAAAGAATTATAATTTCATTAGTGAATTGCATGGGGAATATCTGACACCAGAACTCATTCCCCTGCTCTCCAACAGCTGAAAACAGAAATGGTCTAAATCATGCACAGCCTTCTGCACGTTTTACTGTAGATTCAGGTGAATCACGCATGCAAATCTTGCCTGTGTTCATCAGGTGAAAATGTCATGTGAACTCCTCCTGTGTCTCTCCTGCTGATCAAACCCTGGTCAGAGCAAATCCCTTCCACAAACACAGGACTCTTCCTTCATTATTTCTCTCATCTCTTTCTTGAGCATTTGTGTACCAAAGGGACTAAACCTCAGACAGGGTAGGGCAAAGAGTCTCATTTATCATTTAAAGCTTGTAGAATTAAAGAAACTGAAAATGAAAAGACAACACTGGCATGAGAAGTCAGACTACTCACCTCTTGGAAAAGGTGGGATCTTGCAGAAGAAGCAAAGAATAGAAATAAAAAGAACAAGTGTTCTCTTTACATGGTGATGTGCAAATTTTCAGGCACTTTGAAGGCAAAGAATAATGCAATGACACTGGTGTGAACCTCTCTAAATATTAAGCAACGGCCATTTAAAATTTCAGTAATGATGCAGTAACTATTTTATTTCTGAAGAAAAGGAAAGGGCCATTTTTGAAGTGGTTATTACCTCAAATTGGAAAAAGCATCAAAATAAAAAAAAAAGACAAAATCACCCATAAAGTACGTTACTTAAAATCCCAATATCTTGATCCTAATGGAAACATTTACAAAACTGCAGCATCTTTTGGATTAGAGGTTTGGGATGGAAATAAAGCTGCTTTAACTTGATGGACTCATTTCCCATCAAATATATTTACAATATATGCTATAGAAAACAACCTGCAGATATGAAAATTTTACGCTCAAATGATTCTTTATGAGGAATAAATCAGATGTAAACCTGTTTAAATTATTTCCAGAAATGAGATGAAAATTTAATGAGAATAATGTATTTTCTCAGATTTCAGTCTCTCTGTTAAAGACTTATCCCAAAATGTGCTGAAGCCTTTGAAGAGATTGTGGGGTTTAGTGCATATTCCTGAGTTCTGTCAGTGACGTGTGCATTCCAGTGGGGTGTTGGGGAACAATACAGTTTTCTTTTTTTTTTCTTTGAGTAATACCTGTATTGAGTTTGCATGACCTGGTTTTGGTAGAAGGGGGGCTATGGCTACAAGCGTCCTCTGTGTTCAGCAGAGCCACTCCCTTGCAGCTGGACCTGCTGCTGGCCAGTTCTGGTTCAATTAGAAATGGTGTTAATGCCTCTGTGATAACTATACATATGTACATATATATATATGTGTGTGTGTGTATATATATATACACACACACACACACACTTAAAATAAATACTATATATATAGGCATACATATCTATATAGTATATATAGAACAAATATAGGTATTTGTTAGTTATTCAGTTCATATCCCCAAATTCAGTCTGGTTTTCCCATGATGGTATTTGCTGAGTGATCTCTCCCAGTCCTTATCTCAACCTATGAATCTTCTGTTAGATTTTCTCTGTCCCCAGCAGCTGCACCAGGGAGGGCTCTGGCTTCTGTCATTGTCCTTTCTCAAAGGCTGTGTTACATACAGGAACAGAGCATCTGGGATCCAGAGATCTTTCATCACACATTTGAAAATATATGGCAGGAGGAAATGTAAAATAAAAACTACTTCTCACTTTACTGGTAGAAAACAATGCAATCTGAGCAATCTTTTTTTCCACTCCAAGGAGGTTAAAGATGAAATATAAAACAGGATTCATTTTATTTTAAGTTCTGCATGTTACAACAGAGAACAAAATCCATGACATTTTGTTATTTGTCATTAAAATATACAACTTAATTTCTGCTAAATTAGAATTGAGGCTTTCTTGCCCCCTCTGAATTTCTTCTCAGGTCAAACTGTGGGAACAGCAGGGATTTAGGGAGAATTGCAACTGATCTAAATGTCTTTGAGAAGCTCCAATGGCAGAAAAAAGCTGCTCTTTATAACCCAAAAAGAAGCACCATAAGGCTCAACAAGCTCAGTGCTCTACTGACAAATGTATCGAAGTCAGCCCAATCTTCCTGGAAGGCAGCAACCTCCCCCTCCCACCACATTTGTCAGGAAGGAGTTTTTCCCAAACTGTATGGCCAAACTGTATAAAGAAGGTACTACCACTGAAACCCAGCCCTCACTGAGGATGCCTGACTGGGACTTTGGACTCTGAGTTAAGGCCACCTAAGTAAGATAAATGGTACACTACTGTTCAATCACTTCAGGTCTAGGGAGAAGTAAACAAGGCTGAGGGAAAGGATGCACTGTCAAGAAAGCCAAAGCCAGCAGAAAATCATCCTAGGCTGGTTTTGGGGTGGGGGAGGCCATAGTCCACAGACACCAGGTTTGAACAGAATCCTTCTGCAATGAAAGGCGCAGGAGGAGAGTTTTGGGTGTGGTGTAACCTCTGGTCAAAGGCAGAGAACCCCCATCCTCCCTTACACACACCAGCCCAGCTGCGGAACCCCCAACCCCAGGAAGGCCACCTCCACAAGACATTCCCATGAGGAGCAGCTGAAGGGGTGTCAGAACCCATCAAAGACCCCCCCAAAGTGTCCCCACAGGCCTTGCACCACAGGACTGCACAGGACACAAAGTGATGCCACAGACCCAAAGCCTGTTGCAAGAGACTCTGTCAAAAACTTCCCTCTGTCTCTCTCTGAGGAGATACCTGGCAATTCCCTCCTCACCTGAAATATATTATTCCACTGGATTCTATGTTTTTTGGGGGGCTCTCACCACCAGCTGAAGAGGATCATCGGTATGCCAGTGGGATCCGTGGAGTGGTGGTGATATCTTCTACTTAATCTGTCTCTTATCACTACCTTATTTTTTCCTTTTCCTTTCTCTCTCCTCCCCTATCGTTTATTAATAAAAAAAAAAAAAATCCATAATATTGAATTTAGCAAATGGTCTCATTTGCACCTAAATATGAGCAATAGCATTTCAAATAATTTGAATCCCCATCCTCAGCCAAGAACCCCCCGAGACCCAGGGCTGCAGGAAAAACACCCTCAGCCACGACCATGGAAGAGATCTGGGAAAGCTTATAATCTGTTGCTCTCTGTTAGTCAGAATAGTTATGTAGATGCATGGAGCTGTAAAAGCACAAATTTTAAGGGATTCTTCCTCCTCAAATTTATTTTGTTCTAACCCAGATGAAAGACAAAGAGCAGGTTCACTGTTGATGCCAAGATATGCTTGCGATTAGTGTAATGTTAGCTATTAAGTTGGGGGAAGCAACAAGAGCAGTGCAAAAGCACTTCACACAGTAAAAGGTAGAACCTTTTATGCAAAAGACGCCAAGTTGATGCAGTTACAGAGCTCAGTTTTGCCCAGGAACTTTGTGTTTTCTTTTTCTAGGAATGTCCCCACCTCTCTGCTAACCATCAGAAGAACAAGTCTGGGAGCAGGGCAGCTGCCAGCAGATTTAAATTGAGATGCGATGATCATTTTTCACTTAGGCTGTATCACCTTTGGATAAATCCAAGAGGCTTTTCCTTCCTTTTAATAATGGGTCTGTAGTGGGCCAAACTTTCTCTTTCATTTTTATAGAACCCTTCCTAGAGTTGAGACGGAGCTGTGAAAGAAACAATGAAATTTTTAATTGCCACCATAATTGCTCGTATTGACAACATGCTAATGTTTTTGACTTGTCTGTATTCTTATCACAAGTGACTTGTTGGGACACCAAATAAAAATCAAAGAACTTAAGACATTTTTGAAATCATATTAACCTTCCCAGCTCTGCCCTGGAAGATTTCAGAATTACTGTGATCCGGCTACTGTTTTCAGAGTTTGTAAAAAGGAGTTAAAGAATCCTAACAGAAGACAAAAAAATGTGCCATGAGCAATGGTTGACTTCAGCTGACTTCACCTTCCTCTACTCGTTTTTGGTAATAATGCTATCACCTCTGCAGCAGTGGCACTGTGGCAGTGAGTCTGAGACACAGCATGTGTCTGAGACACGGTGCTGCTGGCAGAGCTGGCTGATGCCTACTCGAGGGTCAGGTAGGCACCTGAGCTGCCTTGCTGCACAGCCAAAGCCATCTCGATGCTGCAGCACAGGCCAGAGGTGCTGCTCAGCTGGAAGATGCAGGACTTGTGGGAGGGCAGCGCTGTGAGCTGGCAGTGGCGCGAGTGGGGCAAACGCAGCCAGGCTGATGCCACCAACATTTGGACCCAGCAGGTGACTTTCTCAGCGTCCAAGTAGGAGCCTGTGCAGAGGGTGTCCAGCAGGTACCACTCCTGATCCCTGGGCAGCTGGCCACCAGAGGTGTGGAGAAAGCACATCTGCCCCAGCAGCTGCTCCCCTGAGCACAGGCACTCCAGCACCACACGGATGCGCCTGGCTGGCGGCTGCTCTGTGCTCTCCGGGCTGAAGGAGTGGCCGAGGGGTGGCCGCAGGATGACCAGAGGGCAGTAGGTGCTGCTGTTCTCCTGGATGCTCCAGGCTTCAGAGCTGGTGCCTGTCCCGGTGGCTGGGTGCAGCTCTGGCATGAAGCTCCTCCGGGACAGCACTCGGCAGACACTGAGGAGCTCGTCCAACAGCTCCTTCAGCACCTTCGTGCTGAGTGGGTCCTGCTGCAGAATCACAGAAATACAGGAGAGTTGGTCTTGGGAGTGACCTTTAAAGGCCGTCCCGTGGGACCCTGAAGCGATGAGCAGGGACATTCCCAACTAGATCAGGTTGCTGACAGCCCACTCCAGCCTTACCCTGGATGTGCCCATTGGTGATGGGGTGGGCACAGCCAGAGTGCACCACTGTCTGCACCCTTGACTTTCTCCTCGTGCTCACTGACCTCCTTGCTGCCAGCCTTCTCCTCACTGTTGCCATTCTCCTTGCTGCTGGATCCCTCCTGCCTCCTGCTGCTGGCAGAGTGCC